TCTCTAGCTTTGTTTGTGTTTCTGTTTTGAAAGAGCTGACTAAACAACGGGCTGATGAAAAGTGGCCTTTGCATTGGTTCATTATAGCAGTTAAAAATCTAAGTCCCCTCACATGTCCAAAATGCAAAATGAAATTTCCTGTATGCAATTTTTAAACTGATAATGACATTCGTTTCCTTTTAATGGGTATGAAAGTGAGTGAGAGCACTGCTTGGGAATGTAAACATTCCCCTGTGCTTCCTGCCGCTCTGTGCTGCGGCTGTAGCAGGGTGGGAAGGGAGAGGAAGCTGGACAGTCTCCTTCCCTGCTGAAATCAGGGCTGTGATGAACTCATGAGCGCTAGAAAATAAAATTAGATTCATTCAAAGGAAGGAAAATGCTTCCTCTTCTACTTTAAAACAATATTTTATCTTCATTTCATTAGTACTGGTTAAAAAGAGATAGTTTGAACTTAACCCTCTTTTTTTAATTGGGCGTTTGTGTATGTGGTTGGTTGTTTTGTGTGTGTGGTGGGGGTTATTGTGTTCGTTTTTTAATAAGCAACTTAGCGTCTGCTATTTGTGGTTATGATTGAGTTTATCATCTTAGCTGTATTTACTTTCTGTCATGCAAACTGCAGAGTTCTGTACACCTGTAAAAAGTAGATGTAAAATCGTACCAAATCTGCAGAAGTGGTACTTCATACCTAAGTACACAAGTGGAAACAATTACCCATGGAGCCAGGCAGCAACAATGAGAGTCTTATGCACTTCATCTCAGAAGATGTAACTATTTTTAAATTTGTCTGGAGGGGGGGGAAATCAGTTCACTAGGTATATGTGTGAATTCTCCATCTCTTTAGTTGGAAATTAATTTTTCTATGAAATACACAATTTGTTTTGAGTGAACTGGTGGAATACATCTGTATGTAGTGTTTTGAGGAGTTCCCACTATGATTTGCTTTCAAAGACTCCACAATTCACAGACTTAATTTACTTTCTGGGTGTCTGGAGCTTTGGAATAAAGTAATAACCTACATTATTCGGGTTTCTCTGTCTTCCATAACCTCAAACATGTTGCTAAAGCTTGATCTGCGTATTTCCTTTAATCTTTTTGTTTTCAATTTCTTTTGAGGTGCTTCCCAGTTCAGCCAATAATTTAAAGCCTATCTAAATTCTCTCTTTTCTTAACAGTATTTTTGTTCAACTAAAAAAACCTCGGCATTACGAAAAATAGTCAGTACAGTAGGCTCTTGTCCTATTACTGTTCTGTCATTTGTTTTAAATAATTCTAGTCTTTTTTCAGTAGCCTATTGTAATGTACAACTACACTGTAATCTGAAGAACAACTTTTCCTTGGCTCTTTCCTGTTGCTCGCTTGCGGTTTAATCACTGACAAGAATGTGCTACAGACTGCTTTTTCTGAAAACCCATTTGGGGATTTTTGGTGTCTTTTTTGTTTTGCCTGTTTTGTTTTTGTGATACTTCCCCTGAAGTTTTTTGAAATCAGGAATAGAAGACCATGTTCACAGACCATCTTTGTTTCTCAGGAAATTTCCATTTTGGCAAATTCTCAGTTTATAATGATCTTGGACGTTGTGCTTCAGTGTGACAAATAAAGCCAGACAAGGAGTAGTCTCCCATGTCACTTCAGAGATCTGGCTTGTGAATGGTGAGTTGTGCTCACTTCCTTTCCTTATATGAGTAAAACTTAAATCTGTCCTGGTGGGAGTTGGAAGCTTGTCTGTATGAAAATTCTGCATTTTAGGTTGCTCTTTTTGGAAGTCTTGAAACACCTGAACAGGCTTTCAGTTTTCTTATAGCTGTGGTTGCTCTAAGGTAGAAGCTTAGACCATGCCTCACTTGTTTAAAAAGTGGTTCACGAGTCTGTCCTCTTTCTTTTCTTCCACAAACTGCAGGAACCAAAGTATAATTCTGGATATCTGCAAATGAAGGAAGGAGATCCGTCTCTCCTTAAGTCTCATAGTTAGCTACTAGCAACGGCAATGAAAGGGGTGCTGTTTTGCCAAGAGTGGAAGCTGAGATGTCTTCATCACCGCTCTTGAATGGCATGTTACTTGACAAAGTGACCTGTCAGATTGAAGATGGGCACTGTTTTAGAAGCATGATCTGGCATGAGGGCAAAACTGTGATGTGTCTTGTGTGATCGGTGGAGTGGTATCCACATAAAATGTGGCAAGTGAAATCTAGGGCTCAAACTTTCAATGTGTAGATCATGTCAACTCGCTGAGGAATCCTCACTGGTTTGCATTTTATTTAAAAAAAAAAAATTTAGAGAGTCATAGCAAAGATATTTTTTCTTTTTTTTCCCTTTCTCTCCGTTGACACATCTTTTGATGGAAGGGGAAAGTATTCGAATAAACTAATTTTGCAACACAACTTTGTGCGGACACTTTCTAACTCTTGTTTGCCTGAGAAGTTGGCGAGTTACTTGTTTTGTGGAATGGGATCTGTTTTTTCTCATGAGTTTTAATTATGGTGGTCGGTGCAATTTGAGTGAAGATCATTATTTCCAGCTGAAGTGCAAGGAGTCACTTCTGTTTGCTCTTTGTATCTCTGAGATTGAAATCGAGATGTGCCCCCCCCCGCTTTGCAAAGATGGGGAAGAGCAGCTCTGAAAAGTGACTGCCAGGATTCATCATAGCTCTACTGATCTCTGTGCTGTAGGCATGTACTGTTTAATTGCTCCCATAACCAAGACTATGTGGCCTCAGTCATGGCATTTCTATGAATTATTTTAATATACCTTCTCATTGTTTCCATGCTGATGTCTGTCACCTTTTTTTCTGCTCACTAATAGAGGCTTAAGACTGCAGGACTGATGTTGAAGGGCTCCTGCTTTTGTAGTTGCCAGCAGACTGCTGTTGCACGAGATGATTCCTCCGGTAATTATTTTTCATAAGTAGAAATCTGGTACCTGCTAATAAATTCCTTTTCCCTTTGGTCCCCACTGCACCTGCCTGCAGGGGCTTTTTGTGTGTTTAGCAGTCTAGCTGATAGCTTTCTTCCTTGCTCACCTATGTTGTTATTCCTCCTCTAACTCACTTCTGTTTCCAGCAACCTTGTTCCCTTACAGAACATGTGGGATACATAAGGTACATTAAGATACTAAAGCTTATTGTTAATCCATTTAGATCTATGCCATTTTGTTGCATTGTCAGGAGGCGGCGATACAGAAGTAGGGAGACTGCATTTAGGCTATATTTGGCTACTGAACTCACTGCGGTTAGGGTAGACTCCCGTCATAGGCTTCCTGTGTGCAGAGCACAGGCTGGACGTTATCTGTGGCAGACAACTTCACATTGCACAGCTCTGCTTTTGCAGCTAGTGTTGTACTGGTGAAGATTCCTTTGTGCTTACAGTGGTAAACTTTTTTTTGGAGAACTAAGTAAAGAAAAATGAGTTGGCTGAAGGGGCTTCAAGATTCTATAAAACATGGTGATTTGAGGCTCTTGGAGAGTCCTGATTTAAGGAAGGCTCAACGTTTTAAAAACAAGGGCCTTGCATGGCTAGAAGAGTGCCAAGCACCAACAGGGTTCTATAATTCATAGCATTAGGACCTCTGCCCTCACAGCCTGTGAGTTGCAACTTTTTGTAATTCTGAGCAACACATGAAGTTTATTTAAAATCATTAAGAGCTGAAGAACAGAGACTATTTTGATTAAACTGTTTTAACACTGACCATGGAAAAAATTAGCATCTACAGTGAGTGAGACATCCCAGGTATCTTGAAGTCTTCTTACTAAACCCAGCAATGTTACAATGAAGTGACAAGAAATTGGCACCAGATTAATGTACTTGCAAATCTGGGAAAGATTTCAAAAGTACAGACTGCTTGTTTCTTTGATACGAATAGGATCTAACTGTTCACTAAAAACAGTGAAGACAACTAGCTATCTTTTCTGATGTCTGCTTTCTGTACTTATGGTGGCCTAAATCTTTAGCATCTTCTACTTTCACTTACAGCAACATAAGCAGACCTTGAGCTTTGTGCATAAGATTTAGGACAGGTAGTGGGAGCAGGAAAGATTTGTTCTAAAGCTGTGTTTTTAAGCCAGGCATTATGGCTGGAGTTGACAACAAGGGTATTTGTCAATAGTTAACTCCTAAGGACTTTAAATTGCTTTGGTGAAATTTTGAAGTTGTTCAGTAATGTCTTTCTCTCTTACACAGCTAGTTAATGTGTGGCTTGAATGTTCGTGAGGCATTTGCAAAGAGTAAAGATAGACTATTCATGCTTTTAAAAAAAAAAAAAAAAAATCAGGTTTTGTTCATGAAAGGTAGAGTGGCTAACATTATGGATGCCTTTTGTTCCGGCTTCATGCTGAATTTGTTCCTGCCTTTTGGTAGCATTGTGTGTCAGAGGGCTGGAGTCTTACACCAAGGAAATAAAAAGATGGCTTATGTGTACTGTTGATTATATCAATATAGTAAAGAGGCTCCTTTTGTCCCTGAACAGTTCTCTAAAATTTTGCAGAATTGCAGTTGCTGATGACTGTTGTAATTCAAGAATCCAGTGTTAGATTAGATTAGCCCAATGTTAGAAGGCTGGATTGTTTGTGGTTTACTGTGTGATAGTAAGAATTATGTAACCTCCTGTTATTCAGTGCCAAGTCAAAAGATCTTTATCGCAGACCTCACTTGAAAGCCTAAGATCTGTGCACAAGGTAGGTGAGCAGCTGCTTAGAATTCCTTGGTTAGTGAATGGCATTTGGAAATGCAGTAATTGTGCATCTATGAAAGTAAAATAATATGAAACTGTGACATAGTGAAATTTTATTTAACTTGTATTATGGAATAAGCATTTACTTTTAGATATGCCACTAGGCCACTCCTGGAATAAGAAGCAAACAGGAATCTTTCTGTTGATAATAATTGGAAATGGTCCCTAATTGCTAAAACAAGCTGGCACTTGAAAGAGTCTGCACAGGAGGTGCCAAAGCAGCCCACAGTACAGGCAGGCTGGGCTTTGGAGGCTGAGGGTTTGCTTGCAAAGTGGAAAATGAGGAGGAATGCGCTTAGATCATGGGCAGTGTTTCGCTGTTTGAAAAGGTATTTGCTTTGCTACTAATAAGTAATGTCAGTGGATGGGACCCACAGCGTCTCAAAAATCTGAGGATTTAGGAGCCCTCAGATGGACACAGGAGAGTAATGTATCTTGGGATAACTGGGCTTGGGTGCGGTCTCCCTTGGTGCGGTGGGAGCTGTTTAGAGTAGGTTTGAATGTAGGTGTCAGATGCGCAGTTGCTTCAGTAGGTCTGTGATTGTTTACAGGTGCCTTTTGTGCTATTCATTTTAGCAAAATCTCTTGCGCTTTTTCTGCCAGTGAGAACAGCGTGCGTTATTTCTGTTTTTTGACAGGCGTTCTGCTGTTAAATAGGCAGTGTCTGCTGTGACACTGACTTGGCTGTGTAAGAATAGCTAGCAGGGCCTTTTTGGGCTGCCGCCTGATCTTGCTGCTTCCTCTTCGCTTGCATGATTTGCTGCAAGGGCTCATGAGGAGGGATGTAACTCTAAAGGAAGCTGTTGTTTCCTGTTTTCTGTTATTTCTAAGTAAGGCACTGGTGCTGCCTTTTCTTCTGAATTTTGTAGTTTTCCCCCTTCCCTAAATCTTCTCTTTTCCCCAGAAAGCATCTCTTAGAGATGTGTCAAGTAAAATGCATTTGTCCCCCTCCTCTTTTAACCGTGAAAAAACTTGTTCTTGAATCACTTGAATTATTTCTACTAGTGATATTGCTAGCAGCTAGGCAGTTCAGCACAGTGGCAAGTACCCCAAGAGCAGTATCAGGCATTGATTTGGCTGCGTTTCAGATTAAATGGTGCACACCAGTGATTCAGCCGGGTATGCTATCTCAGTTGTGCAGTTGCTCTCTGCATTACTGTCTGATCCTTGTGAAATTGCGTTATGAGGAGGTGGTTGTTCTTTCACCCTCCCTTCTTGCTTTTTAACTCAAAACACAGAGCCAAGCGTCTGTGCGGTGTTCTTGTTCTTTAAACAGCACAGCCATAACAGGCGATAATGACTGGATATGCTGTAGTTTGATGCGGAGCCTAGATGTAGGCTCCAAGCAAAAAAAAAAAGAAAGGGAATAGAGAGACTCATTTACAGTTTGTTGTAAGTACTTGACACAAAGGTTATGAAACTGTAGTTGGATGCTCATTGTTGAAGTAAACTCTACAGGCCTCTAGTCAGGTTCTAAATGGAAAATAAATTCGTTACTCAAAAATTTGTCTGTTTTACAAAATTATTTGCTATTAAAATAACAAAGTCTGCTTTTATAGTGCAGACATCACTACTCCTGGTAAGTTTGACCTATTAATGATATGCCTTGAGCAGTCTGTGTGCATCAGAATGACCGAAGACCGCTGAGACTGAAAAGCCCAACTGGAATGTTTGTGTTTTTAAAAGCTTTCTGCATATAAGATAAATGAATAGCTGAGCTCACATGAGCCTAGGTAACTTTAACATATGCAATAAGTGATCCCACACTTACTGTAGTTATCACTCAGGCTTCCTTTACTCCTTCAATGACTAGAAGTGTGCTTAGGCATTTTACCCCCCCCCCCCCCCCCCCCCCCCCGCAAGAGTCTTGTGTCTTGGTTTATTCTGGTGCTAACAACTCGCGGGTATTTATATGTGCTGGATTGTGTTTACACAATTGTATTTTTGACTCCTTGTGGGCTAGGGTTTGTTCACCAAAACTTCTATTATTACCACACTAGAGGAAGCCACTATCCTGTTTAACAAGCAGCAAGGGTAATGAGCTTTACATTTAAGAAATTTTGCAGGATGTGATCTACTTCCTCTTGTTTTTTGAGTGGGGGGTGCCCACTCAGCAGGCAAGCCTTATTCTTGGTCAGAAGGATTCCTCATGCAATGAGGTGCTGATTTCCCTTAACTATTGTATTAAAAAAGTGGGATGCATATTGCTGCAGAATTTCATGCTCATGTAGAACTTTGTTAGCCATATAGGTAAAGATCATATATTGGGAGTAAAGCCTTCCACAGTGTGCTAAGCCTTGGTACTGGAGAGAAGGGAGGAAGGCTTTTCACTCTGAACTCTGTGTGTGTGGGTGGTCCTTTTGTTATCAATAACTGAGTGAGTGGAAGCTGCATCTTCTCCTCTCAAAATACCCAGACTTGCTCCCTGGTTAAAACAATAGTTTTCTCAGTTCTCTAATTGGAAATGTTGGGTTCAGGGCAGAGGAGCTGAGAGAGAGGTTAAGTCTAATTTCTCAGGCCTGATGAGGCCAGAGAACGCCCCATAGCTGACTTAAATTCTTGGCCAGCCTTGTAATACTCTGCAATTAAACATTGGTTGCATAAGTGGGTTGGGTTTATTCTTAAAAAGTAATCTTTCTAGTGTGAGAATGAGGTGCTGTATCTAGTATTTTATTTTTGCACTAGTGCTATAGAAAAATAGTTCTTAATTCAACAGCTTCTCACAGTTCTTAAGTTAATCCGTCACGTTGCAGGGCATTCTGCAAGCTTTTATGGGAATACAATAGGAATCTGATGTCCTGATCTTCTGTAATGCCATTTTGTTTCTTCACAGTTATAGGCTATTATGTAATAGAGGTATAATAAGTTCTGTAACAGGTTTATGCTGCTATATCCCTCTGGAAGGCCTGATTGCACTCCAAGGTCTTGACTCTGCCAGCTCAAAACCACCGTATTGTATAGAAAGACTATTCAAAATTATTTTGTGTATTGAGCTTTCACCAAAGAAACTGCAAAACACTAGTTTAACAAAAACTAAGAGTTCCAGGGCTGGACTGTATTTCCTGGAGTGTATGCGAAGCTTTACCATCGCATCACCTCTTGAAAGATAAGGTTCGTGACCCTGTGTGTGGTGGGCTGGTGTGGTAGGAAATGTTTTGTTTTAAAAGGCATCATTACCTCCTTGTAGGTACCAGATCAAAGGTGAGCTACTGCTTTGAATCTGCTCTTGCAGACTTGACTAAGGTAGCGTTAGGCCCCGGGGTTATTTGACTGTGGGAGAAATAGCCTGCTCCCAAACTTGTGGAAATTGCAAGAGCTTTGGTAGTGGTGAGAAACAAACAGGGAGGTGAGGTCCTTGCGGCCCTTTGCATCTATACCAGCACCTATGCAACGGCTGGCCACAGTCTGAAAGTCAGCCAGGGCCCTCGAGGAGGCTGGTGTTTGTGCTAGGTTGGAGACTGGGCTGCCACGGGGGACCTCAGCCCGACCTGCCTCAAATGAGGCCCCACACGTTCTCGCTGCCTATGCCCCGTGCTGTGGTCAGGGTGATTGCAGATGTTCAGATGTAAACAAAAGGTACTCTTTTCTTAGGGGATGGGGGAGGTGCAGGAATTATATTATTCAATTTTAGAGGACATAATGCATCTTCTTGCTTTGTCAGCCAAAGATAACTCCTCCCAGTTTTCAAGATTGTGGGAATAGCCTCATGGCAGGATGCATGAGGCTAAATGTAGAAGACCAAAAAGGCACGTGTGGAGGGAAGAAATGTTGAGGCTAATGGTATTGAATGTTAGTTCATGCCCATCTTAGTGTCAAGCTGCGTTCATAGGTTGAAGGTAAAGATGAGGAAGGATGCACTGCTGTAAGCAGTGGTACCTCCATGATTTATTTGCTTACTCTCCAGTGATCTGTGGGTCAGGTGCTTGTTGAACAGCAGTTGATATCTTTGTGTTTAATAGCACTTAATGGAAGTTGTAGCTCTTCCTGGATGTGTCTGACTTTTTATAACAAATGCCGTATGAGGCATTTATTTTTGAGATGACCCTACATTGTCCTTTTATAAAGTGTGTGATTTCAGTATGAACTTGCTGAGGCTTAAGTAAAGGGCTAACAGATTTTTTCAGAAGGAATAGGCTTTTCCTCATTGTCCATTACAGCCTTTGAATGTTTGTCACATTTTCTCAAGACTGTTAGGGGACTTCTGTTACTACTAAAACCTTGTCGGAAGCTGCCAGAAAACTAGTGTAATATTTATAGATCACTGATATTGTTTTTTTGTGTGTTTTTTGGTTGGTTTGTTTGTTTCATTGTAGGTAATGCCAACATCAAATTTATGCAATATCATTTGAGATGCTTGTCCTGACAGGTTTGGTTGCTTGGCTCTTGAGTTTTTACAGAAGAGCAAGGCTAACAGAATAGCATCTTTCATAATGCAAGTGCATTCACTCCTTGATGCATACATGGAGGAAGATGAAGACTTAATCGCCTGTTTAATAGGATCAAACTGACATTAGGTGGCCTCTATAAAGCATTTGATAAAGTTTAGCAGAGGGGTTTAAAAATAAACAATTGATTATCAAAATTTTCCTGATGAGATTATGAATTTGATTAAACTATAAGTAAAATGTTACAAGGGTTTTCTGTTTGTACCTACTGGATGATGGAGAGAATACTGCTTCTCTCCCTTCCCCGCAGCCCTCGCTGTTGTCAGACATAAATGTCCATGCCTTGTACAGTGAGTACTGAAGGACCTGAACATCTGAGGTATTCCTTTATAGTGAGTTTTGAACGTGCTTTGATAGCTGGTGAACAGTGAAGGGGCACCGCACCCTTTGTGTTCGTGGATAGAGCTCTATAGTCTCTTCTTGCCTGAAGCTAATAAATAGTGCTAATGTTAAATAACATTAACTTCTCCTGCTGGTCTGCATCTATGGCAGCATCTTTCTTTACTTTGAGGCCCCATCTTGAGCTGTGATCCTTAAGTGCAGATGTCTGCTTCTAGCAGACAAGACCATTAGCTCATTGGTCTGTTTTGATATAGAGCTGAGAAAAATGCCTCAGGATGGAGTGGTTGGTTTTTTTGTTGTCTAATGCCCCTTCTTTCCCTCTTCCCCCCCCCCCCCGCCCCCCGGCAATGCTAGAGGTTTTCCCTTAAGGAGGACGTTTTGTGTAGACATCTGTGGTGGTTTCCTTCACTTGCCCACCCCCAACATACCCTCCTTTTATTCCTTTAAAAGAAAGCACACTCATGCATACACCAAAAATCCCACACCCCTGTAATTTAAGCTCAGCAAAATGCATTTAGGGCTTCCTAATTTTCCTTCCTCAC